CAGCAGCATGCCTAACTTCGACGATTTCGTTGCCGGCAACGAGGAGTTCGTGGCAACCTTCAAGGATGGCGACAAGCCGATGCCCCCTGCTCGCAAGGCACTCCTGGTCACTTGCATGGACGGTGCGCTGCCCATCCCGCGCCGGGAGCCGCATGTGGGCTGTCACCAGCGCTGCCCGGCGCCGCTGCTTGCGCTCGCCGCCAGCGCCAGCAGAAGTCTCTCGCCGCCAGCAATGTGGCCAGCTGGGCGGACCGGGGCCAGGCAAGCAGCCTGCCCATTCTCTGCCCCTCTTTGCCGCTTGTGCGCAGCCCGCATCCACCCAGAGAAGGCGCTGGGCGTGGACATAGGTGAGCGGGGCAGGAGGGCGGGAGGCGCCTTGCACGTGCCGCCGCTCGTTGAGCGCAGCACCACCAGCGCCCGCTGGTGCCCCTCGGGAGGAGCTCCCCGGCCCCATGGACACTCCTGCCAGCCCCCGCCTGCAGGCGACATCCACGTCGTGCGCAACGCTGGAGGCCGGGCGGTGGACGCGGTGCGCTCGGTGACCATCTCCCAGCAGCTGCTGGGGACCACTGAGGTGAGCCAGGCGGTGCGCACGCCGCACGCGCCGGGGCGGGGGCGTGGCGTGCCAGCCGGCGCGCAACACACCTGTGCCACCCCCTGCCACCCCCCACACACACTCGCCCTGGCCACCACCCACGTGCGTGTGCATGCACACGAGGCCACCAGTGCCACCCACCACAATGCCATGCACGCCGTCCCACCTTCCCGCATTCCCGCATTCCCGCAGATCTTTGTGGTGCACCACACCGACTGTGGCATGCTCACCTTCAGCACCCCCCAGCTGCAAGGCATCGTGAAGGACAGGCTGGGGCACGACGACGCCACACACTACCACGAGTTCAGGTGGGGGGGGGGGGGCGGGGGCACACCCATGGGCTGGGGCTCGAGCTGCCCCCCAAGCGATGAGGCTGCCTCGGGCGGGGCGGGGCGGGCAACATGCGCCCACGGCATGCAACATCGCCGTGGCGCAAGCCTGCGGCTGCCCCATCCCCCACAACAGCACTTCAACCGGTCGCCCTTGCGCTCCGCTCACCCCACCTGGCCCTCTCCCCTCCCCCCGAAACGGTACACCCATAGCGACCTGGAGAAGAGCGTGCGGGACGATGTGGCGCTGCTCAAGGCGTCACCCGTGGTCAGGCCGGGGACCCCCATCCGCGGCGGCATCTACGACGTTCGCACCGGCAAGATCAGCTGGCTGGACTGAGGGCAGGCTGAGCCTGGCGGGCGGCACAAGCCTTGCAATGGCTGTGACAAGCTTACAAGGGCATTCGCAAGCAGGGATGGGGGTAACTTATTGGGCTATATGAATCTGTGCATTTGGGTCAAAACTGGGTCACTTAACGGTCCAACTCAACTTGTCCACACAACCACACTGATAAGCCTTGCTTGCTCCGACGCATAAACCTGTGGCCCGCCACGGCACGCCACATCCTGTAGAAGCGCCACGCCACCTGGCACGCTAGCGCTGTGCCGGCCGAAGTCATCAAAACAACGGGGCCACCGCTTGAGCGGGTGCCAGCGCTGCGCCGAAAAACTGCTGCTGCTGCCGCTGCCGGTGCTGGTGCCAACTGGGCGGTGTGAGGCAAGGCCAGCCCCAGCCCTACACTTCTAGGGATCTCACTACACATCCAGCTTTGAGGCAGACCTGGCCAGCGCGGCCTCAGCAGCGCCGCTCTGGTACCAGCGGGTCGCCAGGCCGATGAAGCACTGAGTGCACAGGATGCCTGCGGCGCACGGGCAGCAGGGGGCGTGCCAGCAGGGATGGGCTGGCGGCACAGCAGGGCGGGCGCAGCAGGCTGCCCGGCGATGCCGCATCTGCGTGTGGCGAGCGCAGGCAGGGGCCCACACCTGAGATCGCCCCCAGCAGGAATGTTGTGATGGCCTTGCTGGCAAACGACGGCACCCTGCAAGCAGGCAGGAGGGGAGCGGGGTGGCAGGAGGGCCGGTGACCAGGGGCCAAACCAGGGTGGGCCCCTGCTGACGCATGCAGCGCCGGGCATGCAGGGCCCCCTGTGGGGAAAGCAGGCTGCTGGCCAGGCAGGGAGCCTCACCCCAGGATGTCTGCTGACCAAGGCACCAGGCCCAGGCAGGCCAGGGTGGCAGCAAACAGCGCCAGGCTGGCGCCCCAGGGCCGCGCCGCCCAGCTGCCGGCGGCGTGGACTGCCGGCAAGGGAGCTGCCGGCACGGTCGCACCGGCGGCAGCGCCGCTGACCGCGCCGCCGCCGCGCCCAAGCCGGTGACAGGCTTGCAGGAATAAAGAGTAGGGCAGCACTATGCACAGAGCGGTCCACTGGTAGGCAAGGCACCACCCCACCGCCGGCACCACCTGCACCTCATGCCACGCAGCGCAACAGGAGGCAAGGGCAGGCAGGCAGCTGAGCAGAGTGCAGCACAGCCTCTTGTCTTGCGCGACATGCAGGCCGGCAGGGCAGCACGCCTGCACTCGGGCTGCGTGTGCCCCACCTGGCGAGGAATGAGCGCCATGCTGACGCCCAGGCCGACGGCCACGGCCGCCATGCCGGCGCCGGCCGCCGCGGCGGTGAGCCACGCCGGCGGGGCCGCTGCGGGGAGGGCCGCGGCTGCCGCTGCGGGCAGGTCCAGCGCCATCAGCAGCTGCTGCTGCTGCTCAGCCCTGCAGCAGGGGCTCTGCGGGCTGCCGCAGGGGCTGCCGCCGCCGCTGCCGCCGCCGCCACGCGGCCGGAACGCCTTGAGCGCCCGTGCCCGCGTGCCCGCCGCCCCCACTGCCCACGCCAGGCGGCCGCCGGCGCTTCGCGCGAACTGGCCCAGGCCCCGCTGCCACAGGCACCGCCGCACCAGCAGCGCTGCTATCACGAGTGGCAGGGGCAGCAGCACCAGGGCTGCCAGCTGCTGCTGCGCCGTCTTCCCTCCGGCGAGGCCGTCTGCCGCCGCCGGCAGCCGAGAGCGCAGCGCCTGCACCAAGCACCACCGGCAGGCCTGTCAGCCCACGCCTCCCTTCAGCTTTCAGCAGCTCCACCAAGATGGCTGACCAGCGTCTGCGACCCCGGGGGCTGCCACAGCAAAGCGCCCTACCGGCGTAACCGTCGAGACCAGCCTGGCCACCCTCGCCCCACAGCCGGCTCAAAGTAGGCAGTAGGCAGGCAAGGCTGTCAGGTCCGCGCGTGTGTGCCTCACCTGCCACCGCGCCGACGTCTCTCCCATGATCCACCCCGCCCACCAATCCCAGGGCTTGAAGGTGGCAAGGGTGAAGTGCAGCACCCTGCTGGGCAGGGCGGGGCGTGGCGAGATGTTGCCTGTGCCATGGTGCGCGGCGCTCACTGTCAAAGGGCAGGCGGGCTACCGGGAGGGCTCAGTTCCCTGCAAGGGAGGCGTGCGCCGGCAAAGCGCAGCGGCAGGCCCGCCCGGAGGGCATGCTGGCGGCCGCCGCCTGGGAAGAACCCCGCCCCGCTCGCCTTATCTCCTCAGCCGGCAGCGTCCAGCGGTTGGAGTTGAGCAGGTAGAGGCCCAGGTCGGCATTGTACACTGTGGGCAGCCGCCCCAGCTGCAGCAGGCGAGAGCAGGCAAGAGCAGGGGACAGGCTCGAGGCGCCCGGCAATGCCAGCGCAGCCTGACAGCGGCGCTGAACCCTTGCTCTGCCTGCCGGCAGCCGGCAGCGCAGCGACGGCGCAGGGCAGGGTTGCCAGTGGCTGGGTTGCCAGGGCAGGGTTGCCAGCGGGGCAGGTCCGCTCACCGCCAAGCCGGGCGCGCCGGGCGCGTCGCTGCGCCAGGTGGCGACCTCGCTGAGCTGGCGGCCGCGCCGCGGGTCGAACAGCGGTGCCTCGGGGAAGTCTGGGAGGAAAGAATTGAGGAAGCCCTGGTCGCCGCCGGTGTAGGAGGGGGTGGAGGGGACTGCGGCCATCATGGCCCGGAAGAGCGCCGCCGACGGCGTCAGCACCATCACCCCTGCAGGCGGGCAGGCGGCAGCGGGCTGGGCTGGGTAGGCTGGGCCAGAACGCAGCCCCGCCGCGAGCAGGCAGCCGGCATGCAGCTCTGGCCCCGGGCCGCGACGTCGGCAGGCAGGCGCGGCGCCGGCCGGCAGCGCGCCGGCTGCCTGGCCGCCAGTGGCGCCGGCAGGAAGCCTGCGGCAGGCCCGCGCGCATGCGCCACGCTGCTGCCGGGCCAGCCGTCGCGCGCCTGTGTTGACCCGCTCCGCGGCGCGCATCACGGCGCAGAGGCCGTCGAAGAGGAACAACTCGTCCAGGCTCCGGGAGGCGATCGTGTCAGCGTCCAGATACACCACTGCAGGGGGGCGCAGGGCGAGCGGGCGGGAATGCAGGCATGGAGTGACGCGGCTGGGTGAGCAGCTCTTTTGGGGTGAGGAGGCGGGCCATGCACTGCAGGTGATGACGGCGGACAGAGGCGAGCTGGAGCCGGGCGGGCGGCACGGCCGGGGCCAGCCAGATGGTCTGCCAAATGGTCTGCCTAATTGCGGAGCCGGGCCCTTGCCCAGGCCCTTGCCTCGCTGGTACTGGGTGAGGTTGAAGATGAGCAGCTTGGTGAAGACCCCCCAGAAGCGCGGCGGGAACCTCTGCGCCCGGGGCGGCAAGCAAAAGCGCGTGCCGCTCACAAGCGCGGCCGGGGGCCCCGTGCCGGCGCCGGCTCACGGCACCACGCCCGCCACTGCCTGCATGGGCCGCCTGCCCGCCCCAACCTTACCTGATCGGGGTCCTGAGTCCAGGTGCCAGGGTTGGTGACCAGGCCCACCCGCTGCACCTTCCACCCATCTGCACGCCAGGTGGGTGCGGCGCGCGGCGGCTGGGGTGTGGTGGTGGGCAGCCGAGGGCGCAGCGGCGGGCACCACGGCGGGTGCCCGGGCGGCAGCAACCGCCACAAGGCAGGCCAGAGGCGTTGCCCTCAGCCATTCGGCGCCCAGCGGCGGCTGCGACGGCACCTAGGGCCAGCGTGTCGGCCGCCTGCTGGCTGACGCTCTCTGTGACCAGCGCCACAAGGTCCCTGCAACATGGGGCAAAGCATGCGTGTGTGCGGGTTGGCGGCGCGCGCACACGCAGACGGGTGCTCTGCAGCGGAAGAAGCCGAACTCAAATCAGGCAGCGCTCAGCACCTGGTGGTGCCCGTCTCCCTCAGGGACTGGCCCAGCACCCGGGCTCCCAACAGGAACAAATCCGAGTAGACGAGGGTGGCAAAGGCTTCGGCCGCCGTCGGATGGATGCGCGCCCCGGCGTGCGGCGCCGCAGGCGCGTCACCCTGTGCATCGCCCTGCGCTCCCGCGGGCTGCGCCAGCACCAGCACCGCCGCGCCGGCCAGGCAGAAGCCAATCAGGGCCGAATGCCCACTCCCGCGCATTGCGGCCAGGTGCCGGTTGGGGCAGGCACCCGCAAGTCCGCCTCCTGCTATTCAACACAGGAACGAGAGCAAAGCTTCTGCCGAAAGGCTTGACGTGAGGGGCGAGCGCCCGCTCCCCAGGAACTGAAGGACAGCTTCTACACCGCCCGTTCTGAGCCGTGAGGAGGCGGACGGAGGGTGGTTTGAATACTCATCAGCTGGGAGCGAACAATGCACTGGCAGTGGCCCGCCCGCTGTGAAGCGCCACGAGTGCTGGATGCCGCCTTGCCCTCCAGATTCCATCCCTAGAGTGGGCATTCTAGCCAAATGGCGGAGACAGTTCTTGCAAGCACAGTGGGAGCTCACTGAGCCTGCAACTGGCCTTGAGTACCCGCAGCGTGCACACGACCTTCTTGCCGCTCCCGCCGCCGCCCCGGCCGGCGCTGGGCAGAAGCTCCAAACTGGCAATGTCCATGTTCAGAGCGACTCAAATCGCTCGCATGAATCCCCCGTGTGCTATTTTCGGTGCTTGTTAGCACAGCCAGCCGGCCAGAGGCCCTACTCACGCACGCCGTGCTGCACGGCGTGCAGCACCAGGCGGAGGCGGCAGGCCCCCGTGCTGGCGGCGAAATGTGCCATTTGGTGGCGCGCCGCCCCTCTCACGCGCCACGGCTCCTGGAGCGTGCGCTTAGACTGGGTGAGGGCCGCCAGCTCAAGCTGCAGAGACTAATTCAAGCGTCGGATACCAGTCAAGCCACCGCCCAAAAGCGGGTATGTGTGTTCCTATCGGACCCTCGAGGCGCAAGGAGCAGAAAGTGCATGCTAGGTGGCCTGAATTGGCTCTGGGAGGCGAGCGTCCCCCGCCACCTTGTCGCCAGAGTTTCCAGCTGCGGTGACGGCACGGTGAATCCGCCCATCGGCCACCGTCGCACCACCCTAAAAAACCTCAACCCCACCCCAAGCTGAAACCGAGCCTGGGGAGGGGAAGCCACTTGGGTGCCGTCGGCAACCCCCATCGCGAAGTGTTAAGCGTTCAGCAGCGAGCGCGCAACCCACAGACTGCTGCCTCAACTCGACACACAGCCTCAAGCCCCAAGCGTAGCGCGTGGGGTTGAGCCCCGACTCTGCTCTTGTAAAAATGGGGGCGCGCCAAGCGCTGCCAGGCTGCATCCTGCTCTTCCTGATGTCGCTAGTGCAAGGTGAGAGGGTAGCGAAGTGGGGTTGGCGTTGTGCGCCTGTGGCTAACCTGCGGACGTCCCGGTCGGTGTGACCAGTGAGCAGCCAACCCCAAACGCCCAGGCGCTGGGCTTGGCATGCCAGCACCGGGTCGGGTGTCTGAGGCTGTGGCCGGCCGGCGGGGCCCCGCGCTTTGCCGCCCCGTGCCCGCCGCGCATGCCGCCGCTGCCGCTGTATGCGCGGCCGCTGCCGCGGCAGGTCCAGGCAGGCCCAGCGCAGCATGCGCCCACTGCTCCCGGGGCCCAGCGACTCTGAGGGCCCTGGGTGGAATGCATGGCATGCATCATCATCTTCAGAGCCCCAGGCAGCCCCATGCGTGTGCCCTGGCAGAGTGGCTCTCCCCGCCGACGGCACCGGCGGCGCCACGACCACTGCATCCCAACCATCCTTTGATTTCGCACCCACACCTTCGCGCCCACGCCTGCAGATGCCTCAGCCGACTACAACGTGTGGGCAGGGCGCAAGTGGATCACCCTGGTGGGCCGTAAGGACTGCTTCGCCACCAGCGGTGAGTGTGCGTGTGTGTGTATGTGGTGGTGGTGGGTGGGTGGGTGGGTGGGGGGGCATGAGCGGCGCATGGGGGAGGCAGCACAGGCACTGGCCCTGCCGAGGCAGCACAGAATCCTTCCACACACGCCCACGGTGGCTCCCGGGAGTGCAATGCGGGGCGTGCCGCACGCTGTGCTGACCCGCCTGCTCCTGCTCTTGCTGGGTGCCCCCTCGCAGGATGGCTCGGCAACCCGTACTGCGACTCGTGAGCCGTCAGCGCCAGCTGGCGCTGAAACACACGCAGCCTCTGCCGCCCTGCCTGCCCCCCTCGCCTTCCTCGACCCGCCCCCCCGCCGCTTGCGCGCCCGCTCGCTCCCCAGGCGCCGCTAGGCCGGCCGCATGCCCCCAACCTGCCGCCCCTGCCGCCCACCGCACCGCACCTGTTGCAGGGACAACAATGGGGCGCTGCTGTATTCCAACGGCGGCGGCGTGCGCACCACCTGGATCATGGAACCGGAGAGGAGCGGCCCCATCGAGCTCCTGGGCGTGCCCTCCAGCTTCTCGGTGAGTGGGACCTGCCCGCCACCAGCCCAGGCGTAACGGCGCCCAGCCGTGCGCCGCCGCACCGGCACCCGCGCCCCTGGGAGGGCCCCCGTTGCACGGCGCAGCCGCGCGGCCGCTGCGCCATCCGGTTGCATGCCCCAGCAAGCGACCCGCCCGTGGCCGTGGCCGGCTGCTGTCCCGGATCCCTCCCCTGCCTGTGCCTTGCCGCCCGCGCTGGGGACTGGTAGCAGGGCTGCCTGCAACGCAGGCCAAGCGCCGCCTGCGTGCCGGCTGAGCGCTGCCCTCCGCGCCGCGCCGCCCCCCCCCGGGCAGACCCTCACCGCCGCGGCGCCGTGCCTGCGCAGGTGCTGACGCGCAACCAGAACTGCCTGGCCCGCAGCTACCTGTCCGTGTCCTCTGATTGCAACAACTTCACCGCCTTCTCCTCCTCCCGCACCTCCAACGCGATGTGGGTGCTGGAGCGGGCCCCCGACGTGCCCGGCCAGCCCTCCATCCACGGACAGTTCTACATGCGCGCAGTGGTGAGGCGGCGGCGGCGCTGTGTGTGTGTGTGTGTGTATGTGTGTGTGTGTGCTGCTGGTGGCAGGGGGGTGCGCCGGTGCCGGCCCCGCTGCCGCGGGGATGGGGGCTGGCACCAGCGCGCAGCGTGAAGCATGCCGCCGCCGCCGCGCTGCTCACGAGCCGGCCGGCAACCGACCTAGTCGCTGCCGCCGCCGCCGCCGCCTCGACCACCAACAAGCCGCTTCCGCTTCCGCTTCTGCGCTGCGCCGCGCCCACGCCGCGTGCGCCGTGCCGTGCCGTGCAGGCCCGCAACGGATGCGCCAACAAGCGCATGTACCTGGGGGCTGTGAAGGCGCAGCGCCCTGCGCCCGACTGCGGCGAGCCGGAGCTGGCCCTTTACCACGGCCCCAACTTCCTGCCCAAGAACAGTACCGTGCTGTTTGTGTGGAATGTGATCGCCAAGGCCATCCCGCCGCCCCCCCAGCCGCCCCCCAGCCCCCCCCCGCCCCGCCCGCCGCCCCGCCCCAAGCCTCCGGCGCCGCCCAAGCCGTCTCCCAAGCCGCCGCCGAGCCCCCGGCCGCCACGCCCGCGCCCGCCCAGCCCCAGGCCACCCCGCCCGCCGCCGAGCCCCAGGCCGCCGCGCCCGCGCCCGCCCAGCCCCAGGCCGCCCCGCCCGCCGCCCAGGCCCAAGCCGCCCAGGCCGCCGCCGCGGTGGGTGGCGCAGCGGGTGGCCACCGGCGGCACAGCCACCTGCACCCGCAATCAGGAGGCAGCCACAGCTGCGCAGGCATGCTGCCCTGATTGGCATTCACACATGGGGAAATTGTGCCGCCGCCTAGCTCAT